GCAGCGAGAAGTCTCTTTCTAACTCTTTTGGCTAAAAGCCATATCTTAAATACTTAACAGTTTACAAGCTCATTAGATTTACAAATCTAATCACGCTTATTCTGGCCGGAAATGGAAAATAAGAGAGAATAGCAAAGTTTTAAAATAAAATAAACGTTAATAAAACTAAAAATCCTTACAACTTGTGTGCTCAATAGCACCGTATTTGCTTCAAGAAACATACTACTTGTAGAAACTTCAAGGTTAATTACTTTTAGCATCCTGAATATTGCTGAGAATTCTTAAAGAACCAGGTTAAAAAATTTTGGTCTTGTTTCCTGCAGCAATACATTTTTCTCTGATCTGCTTCTGCTAATTCTTTTGATAGTTGACTTCTTTTATCGATCTTAAAGTTTCCAAAGACTCAAAATAAATTCATTAAATATTTTATTTGTTTCAGATATATTTTGGGAATGTTATCAGTACTAAACACTGTTAATACATATCAAACTTAATAACTTTATTTCCGTATAATATTGAAAATGCTCGCAGTGGATCACATCTTATGCGGTTTAAAATAATGTTATTTTGTTTATAAACAGCTCGACATTTCAGACAACAGATTTAATCCATACATATTTGAGAAATAATGAAACTTTTAATTAACAGAATTTAATTATTGGATCTTCTTTCATGGTAGCATTCTAAATTTCAATACGCTGAAATCTGCTCTATTACGCTTGCAATGTATATCTCTGCTATCAATATTATGCACAGTAAAATGCTTTTGCTGTTTTCTCTAAATTTGCATCACATCAGCTAACAATTTTATAGCGTATAAATATGAACAGTAACCTCCAAATAGTTTAAAATTTAGGAGAACCTAAGATGAGGTTGTATGCAAACGTTCATGGACGGTTTTAGACCAGGTCTTGAATGCATAGGATTTCTGAATCGTGTTAGCATTTGAGAAATCAGGTGACAGCGAAAATGCAAGACGTAAAAGTCCAGTATTACTAATCAAACACTCAGTGTTTTACATGCAAATAAATTCTAATGAATAATTTCGATGAGAACAAAGAAAGCATATTTTGGAATTTTATATGTTATAGACAAAACACGTGAAATAAAGGTTGAAAAAAGATCTATTAACATAAAGATATAGAGAAACAATAGGGAGAAATTAATTGCTAATTAGAGGTACTATTCAAAGGCATTAATAATTTCCAATTTGTTGGTTTATTTTCTATATTTTGTTTTCTTTTTTGAAGGGTAGTGATTAGGTTTGAAATAGCGAAAGAATTTAATAATCTAACAAAATGAGGAAAAATAACAGTTATGTTTTTATTTTCAAAGTACCATCTACTTCACATCTAATAAGATAATTCATATCAAGTATGAGACGGAATAATTAATGAGTAAAGATTTAAACATCAGTTTTTCTTTATTGAATAACAGGATTAAATCCATTTCTTTGGACTAATTGTTCTGTAAGCCCTTTTTAACTTTTTTTTCGAATAATTAATTTTTATTGATGATTCAGAGGACAGTGGCACATGTGAGGTAATTATCCCTACGCTAATAATTGACAAGTTAATAAATTTAGAATGTTGGCTCAGCTTCAGATGCTTTTTGACTTTTACAACATGTTGGTTTTCTTTTTTTTTTTTCCTCCTAGGAGGTGTACCTTAAAATCTGTATATTGTACGATGCAAATTAGCTTAACTGAGAAATATTTGGAGAGAAAATATAATAAAATGTCATTATTAAAAGTAAGTGTAAATGATTTTTTACGGTTGAAGTATTTACAAGTTTTATTTTTATGAAAACAAGCATTATTGTTTTTAATTCCTTATAACTTCATATCAAATTACTTGTCAATGTATTTGTAAAGGTAATTAAGCAAATTGTAAATTAATTAGAATTTAATTTAGCTAAAGCAGTTCTTACAAATGCAGTTAAAGTTTATAAATTATTAACATGTAACTTTTCTTAGTTATTCATTATGTTACCTATACAAAGATAGAATTTCACTGGAATGAGGATGGGGATACCTATGAGAGAGGCCCATTCCAACGAAATAAAAGACAAAGAAGGACAATGCGGACAACTTGATGAAATATATTGACAATGAACAGGACTGATTATTGAGAGTTTGTTTCTTCAGGCCGGGTAGTAAATAAGGAGATTTATTGTTATATTTTTGAAGCAGATGACAGAAAGTAATTGCAGCAAAAGATCTCATATGTATAAGAACTGAATCGAGTTACTTTTCATAACAAGTCATGGTACCCAAATAAGTAAGAATCTGGGAAAAAAACGAAACTCGCTGTGGCTCTTCATTAACGCCCACTAGCGACCAAATCAATAAGGTATGAAGCACTGGTAGTTTGACTTGAACTCAAATTCCAGAAAACAAGTTAGCCATTTTTATAATTTTCGTCATAATATCCAGAAATATGAAGATGAATCAGTTTCCCTCAGCTCTATCACGATAATATCCCTTTTTAATCAACCCTTTACAGGTGCAGTCCCTTTAATGTGTATTGTCAAACAACCCTTTAGTGTTCGTTGTCATAATTTAATAAACTCAAAAATTCATTCACCTGCATATTACATTTAACACCGTGAGACATTTTTTTTAAACTTAAAGAGATGCATTTTTAGTCCAAAGGGATTTGAATCCCGAAGGACTATTAGTTTCCTTTTGGCATTTTGCGTCGGACTCATAAATGTCGGTTCACTTTTCAAACTGTTGCCACAAAATGTTAGAGTCCTGCATTATATTTGAAGAAATTAAATAATGAAAAATCTGCATAAATGTATGTATATTTCTCGTATTGTGATAAAACAACGGTACATAGAGTCATCGAATTTTGAATAACGTAATCCTCCAACGAATATGAGCATGTGGAAGACCAAATTTGAAATTTGAAATTTGTTTTATGATCGATTTCCTATTTTTTAAAACTTTGACGAATTTTTGATTAACAAACTCAAGGATTTCAAAGCGAGCAATGGCAACGTTGTGCAGAAAAAACATTTTTATCTGCAGCGCGTGAGTCTCTGTATCGGAAATTCTTAAGAGATGCTCGTTTTAAAACTATTTTGCGATATTGCTGTTGCACTGGATCTTATGGTTTAAGTGCGAGGAACATGATATTTAATAAAGAAAGGTAACACACAAAATATTAAAAAACGCCCCTTTGGACGTAATTTAAAATCTGAAACATTTCAGATTTTTTTTTTTTTTTTTTTTTTTTTTTATATAATGAAATATTTCCAGTTTGCTGCCATAGTTAATTTCAGGCTTAATCGCGGAAATGCTACGTATGATTTATTTGAAGTACTTTCATGAAGTACAAGCACTCCCATGGGTGCACAAATACAGGGCACAGTTACTCTGAAGATTATGGAGAATAGATATAATTTAAATAAGTTTAAATTCTAGATAAGCTTAAAGACAAGATCGTATTCTCTTCCTTATAAAAAAAGTAATAACAGGTAGTCTCAACAATTATATTTTAAAGCAACGCATAAAATATTGAAATAAATTGCAGTAGAGTAGGTGTCAGAAGAATTTTTATAGTTGTGTGTTCTGTCGTAGTGTAACTGGCAGCACATGCAACTAGCAGTTGGAAGATCCGTGGTTCGAATCTCCAAGGGCATAAATGATTTTACTCGTTTCCTGCTCCGAAGCAAACCTAACAGTCCAACTAAAATGTTGTATAGGCAGTCCACTTATATTTGGCCTATTGGATATAATTCTATTTTTACACAGTAACCTTTTAAATTGAATAGGTTATAAGGAGTTATTACTACCCTTCAGTTCTTCCATGCTGTAAATAGTACTAGCATGTCCAACTGGCTGTCCGAAGATTCGTCGTTTGAAAATTCGGCGAGAGCATAGCTGATTTTTTCCGTGTACCTAATGATTTTAGTCCAACAAGCTCACTAATGATTTTAGTCCGAAGATAATTGCACTATTTAGAATAACTGAAAATATTTTTTCTAGGTTTTACTTTACTTATTTGGCTATCATTATTAAACTGAGTTATATACAGAAGGCGTAAATTTATGGCGAATAGAAACTAATAGAAGCTGATATAATGCTAAAGCTGCCTACTCTAAAATGTTCAATACGTGAGAAGTTTGTCATATTGTGTTACAAGTCTTGTTCTCAATTAATATGGGCATTTGACTATCATATCTTCACTTATTGTACCATAGGAAAAGTTTTAAACTTTAGCTACTGGCTTCCCTCCCTAGAATCTGTGGTCTTCTTTAGACCCACGATAGGATACACTAGCCTTCCCTCCCACCTGTTTCACCTGATAATTTTTCTGAACTTATTTTATACACTTTGTGAACTTTCTGATGGTTATACTTCACTTGATTAAATTATCTGAAGAAAACAGAAACGCATTTTAAGGAGATAAGGCGTTTCTTTTAGGATCCAAAAGCTAAATTATATTTATATAGAGGTTTCTACATTCATTTATATTCCTCTTCCTTTTCTTCACATTGGAAATAGTAATAAAATGCCTTATTCTGAAAACCAGAAAATTTGCTCTCCGCCAACTACGCGATCTTTTAATTAACTTTTAAAGATGTCATTTGTTAATTTCATGAACCCGGCAATAAATAACAAATTCATTTCTGCAGTATATTATGACGAACCATTTTCGTTGCTTGAATTAAATATTCTTCTTATGGGAGTATGGCAATATAATTGATAGAAAGTATATGATTATTTTTAGTCACTCTCAATGTAGATTCAATTAAAATAATTAACAAACCGCAATGAGATTATGTTAAACTAGACATTGAAATATTAGAATATATCTACTATAATAAGAGCTATGGGTTGTACACAGTAGCGCTTTCTGTTACAGATATTAGACATTACTATTGGCCAATAAGATTTAATCCTTAGGCTATACCGCATTTTCTTCACCAATCTTAAATTTGCTTATGCAGCATTATTTCAAAAAATTACTTAATTCTTTTTTTATTTCCAGCTAATTATCTGAGAAAAGGCCTTTCTAACAATCCAGATACCTTGTTGATAACCACCACAAGCCTTTATCTGATGTTAAAAAACAATTGTATAGGCAGTAACGCGGAGTCGATCTTGTCTTCGTTTTTATGAGGCTTTCATTTTTTCTTCTGCCATCGATGATCTTGGATACTTCAGAGTAACAATGGAGTAAGCTTTGACCGTCGGTGAGAAAAACCGAATGATGTATTCAATAAATTAAAATAATGAATCTTAATTTATTGCCTTTTAAGGTACGTATGATTTATTATTTACTTAACTCATTAAATTCTTTATTAAGTTTTTTCCCTCGCTGTATTAATCATTAATTAATAAAATTTCGATTTTAGCGAGCATGATTTTTGAATATTTATTTGCTTATGTCTTTTGTATTTGTTCTTCGTAAATATTTTCTCATTAATTAAAATGAGAGGTATGTGTTTTCATTAGCGTGAAACTGTTTGTAAAAATAAAATAACTTACATTTTTGAGAGAAAGAGCATTTTTGAATTAATGAAAGTTTTAAGGAGCATAAATTGATTAGTTTTAAGAAATTTTAGCAAGTCTGTTCTTATAATTTGGTCCGTGTATAAAACTACATATTTATGCCTTCAAGGAAAGCATGAAGTAAGGTTGATTTTGTTGTTATTTTACATCTTTTATTTTTAATTTATTAAATTCAGGATTATCTCAGATTTATACTACTTATAATGCATTTCTTTCTATTATTTAAAGGTTATTGAATTAAAAACCTCATATTCTTATAATTTAAGAGAAAACTGCATACAGAGTCCTTATGAAAGAGAATTAAAATGTTAATTTCAAAACAAAATAAGCTCATGCCGCTGCATAGTAATACACTTAGTAGTACATCTTTCGACCCTATACTCTTTCTCAGCGAGAACATCCATCGTTTGTACAAGAAAACTCTACCTCATCACCTGAGCTCTTGAAATCCTTTATTTTCTTACGTTTTCATGTTAATACACAGTTATTGGTTTAGAAGTTGCTGAATGAGCAACCAGTCATTCTCAAAAAATTTTTATGCGTTTTTTATTATTTGGATTGATAGTTAGTTTTCTTTAGTGTCAGAGATAGAATTCTAAGAACACAGGAGATTATTCTTGTCTGATAGATTTAGTCTTGTCATTTTATTAATTCTGACGAAAAGACAAAGTGGAATATTTGGAATGTATTACAAAGCTGCCGAAGGAGAGCTTATAGTTTCAATTACTCATGTTTTTATTTAATATTCTAGAATTTTGCTAAGACAGCAAAGGCATTACATTTGAACAAATACTCTTAAACTCTTAAAGAATCTGAGAGAATAAGATTATTGAAGACTTTCTACGTGAAAAAAATAAAATTAATTTTCTTCTATTAATTTGATATATTAAAGGCCGGGAATATTAATACATGTGATAATGCTGATACCGTTCGTTGATTCCTGAGAAAATAAGACTGTTATAAAATTACATTGTTTAACCCCTTGCGTTTGTGCAAATAATGTGAACCTTATTTAAAAAAAATTTGCTTCTTAAAAACATTCCTGGGAAACAAATTTCGTATACCTAATTATTCATAAGTATTCTTCAGATATTTCCCATTCCCTTGGTTGAGTACATGAAATTTTTAAACGCTTATAGGCGACTCTCGCCAATGGAAGGGAGTCTTAAACACGCAAGTAAAACTACGAAAACACTTCGATACTTTGTCAACGCATCGCAATGTTTTCGTAATGTTACTCGCGTTTGACATGAATATGAGCCAATTTACGTTGAAATATCCTTCATGAAGACATCCATTCAGAGACAGAAGCTCTAGATAGCTCACCTCTACTAAATAATCTTTATGATATCTTTAATGAATTAGTTCTCATAATAGACATACAACTTTGACAGACATATTCTTAATATAAATTAAAACTGAAAGTATTTAGAAGCTCACTACGACATTTTATGAATGCTCACTATTGTTATCACTCAATACGTAAATTATATGAATTATTTCATTCTCTTAACATATTAATCAATTACCCCATTTTATTAATGTAATTGCCACCAGTTTGCCTATAATTTTATCTTCTAGAGTTCTTTTATTTTTTATCCCGAGTCCTAAACGGAATGGAATAACCATTTGATATCTTCACTGTAAGAGATAGCTTAGATGATGTCATATAAATTTATTGTTTTGATAAAATTAGTTCTTTCCTTAAGCAAGTTTCAGAGCAAAATGGCTGTGAAGCAAATCAGTTCAATTATTTAATGTGTCAGAATATTATTAATGTCTTACAAATAGTTTACTTGACAATTTAATTACGAAATTTAAAATACTAAAAAAAGCAGATACAAAATATATCGTTCAATACATTTCATCAATTGTAATGAGTTATTAATTTTTTTATGATTTAAATTAATGAAAATGCCAACTGAAAAATTGCTATAAAATTTCCATATTAGCAGTTCTCACACTGCATAGAAATATACAGAAAATGGTTCTAACACTTGCTCTCATTATGCCACCGTTATTAAATGTTATTTGACCCATGTAACCTACAACACTGAGCGGGTAAAGGTGATCCAGAATCATTCACCCATCAATGCTGAATCTGTTGAAACAGGTTGTTATTTTAATACGTTGAGCGCGGCGCCGATATTGCTGTCCTTTCCATTTAGACGATAGCGAGTGAGTACTGGGGAGAACGAGCAAAGGACTACTTTGTTTCACTTGCATAATTTTCTTTTGAATAGGTTAATGCTGCAATCAATGCACGGGTATACGAACTGCAAAAAAGTGACCTCTTAGAGGTGATTAGAAAAAAAAAGAAATGGAAATATAGTGATGATTTGAATAGAAAATATTGGTTTGTTTTTGAAAGTATTTATTGCACCTAAGAGCGAAAAATGTTCGCAAGTGAAGAAGAGAGTACTGCGTCGAGTGAATTACTTTTACCGTGCAGATGTCAACAACGCTGAGTCAACGTTGAAGGATGATCATTCATTAGGCAACGGAGCTTCAGAATGACAACTGTGGCATAACTGCGAACCAGTTTCATCCAAAAGGGAATTGATCAAATATTGTGCCTTTACGGCCCATGTTGCCAAAATCTAATAAAAGATAAGAAATTTTTAATAAATTCAGGTAAATAATATTTAAATAAGTTCTAATGAATTTCTTTGAAGTTATTTAGTTTTTAACTTTGACACTATTGGTAACTCCGGTATGATTGATACTTACGCCAGTATTTTGCTTACTAACTCCAGCTCCTAAATCTCGTTCACGGAAAAAATTTGCTCTCGTCAGTAAACAGAGCAGCTGCTCGAGAAGGATAATCGACTGGTAAGTAATGATTATTGAGAACAAAAACCATTCAACCAATCATTTTACAAAAGAGAGCTTGTTCCTCAAAAAATAACATAACAGAATACATACTTGGGTATTCACTTGTGTTTTTGACGTTATTATGCTTGCCGTGTGAGCAGCACTTATCAGCCGCAAAGGAAAAAAGATTCAGGAGATTGTAATGAGACCGCGAACTGTTCTCAAACTATCCTTATTTGCGCATCAGTCATAAAAGTAAAATGTCGTACGTATGTTGTATGGTATATGCATGTACAGCACATGGCGCCCGCCTATCGGTATGGGAGTTATTAATGCTGGCTGTCATATCTTGGGTCCGAATTCGAATACCGGAAAACTATGAATGTTTATGATTGTATAGCGTATGTGTGGAAAAGGGGTATTTAAAATACTGGCGTGTCGAAAGCCGTCTCGAGTCATTTGGTTGCAGGGAAAAAGAAGTGGGTCCTTGGATGTGTCTCCCACGATGTTCTCCTTCAAAACTATGGGAAAACTGCATAGTTAGTACAATGGTATTAAACTTATATGATCAATGGTAAAATTCTGATGAGCCGCCCACTATAGGACATTATATCACTTCGTTCTGTAGGAAATTAGTTGTGGCATGATATACTTGATTAAAATTCGATCCCTGCATGGAAATTTCGTGTTTGTCTTTGTTTAGATTTTGAAATTAAGTTTTGTCTCGTTTTTGAAACTAAAACTTTATTTCAACTCGTAGAGACATGAGGTATTTTTTTTTGGAAGCAAGAAAGATGAAAAATGAGCAACTCCGTCTCCGATAATCGAACCACAGACCTCTGGAATACGTGCTCAACATGCAGACCACTACACCACGAACGCACGCTAAGAAGGCGGGAGAAATACCTTATATACTCCCCTTTTAAAGGGCGACTAGCGTTTTAGGGAAACCAGTCGCCAAATTCTGGGTGTAGAGAATCATCATCCACCAACCTTTTCGTTCGGGCGCTACTGTCAGGACTTCTGTTCCTTCTAATCTGTTTGGCGAACATGTGGGTGTCCTGAGTAGAACAGTGAGTTTACTTTAAACTATGTTCTTTGTAAACTGTGAAGAATAAAGGGTAATTAAATCCTTCCCTTCTTTTTCATATCTTCTACAATTTCAAAGAACATAGTTTAAAGTAACTGTGAAGAATAAAGGGTAATTAAATCCTTCCCTTCTTTTTCATATCTTCTACAATTTCAAAGAACATAGTTTAAAGTAAACTCACGTTCTACTCAGGACACCCACATTTTCTCCAAATAGATCAGAAGAAATAGTAGTCCTGAGAAACTCATTTTATTTTCCTACAACGGTCATTTAAAACAGTTATTGGTTATAAGATTTTAGTTGAGAAATTTGCTTTCATTATCTTTTTTATTTTATGAAAAACAAATAAAAACGACTATACGAGTTTTAAAATTTAAGTAAATGTAAAGTTTACCATATATGAAATCTTTATCTTTAATTTTATGAGTTTATGCATAAAGTTTTATTGGAATAACAAGACAAAATATCTGTGCTGCCTGAAAATTTTTTTTTTCTCAGCTGCGTGATAAATGGAAGTATTTCAGAAATTCAAATAGACTTTTTCGGCTGTGAATATGGTATCTTAATATATTCACTGCATTACACTCTTTTATATGTCAGTTTACTTTTACGGGAGTGGAGGACTGATAATGTTATCACTTTTCTGCTTCCCCTTCTTTTACGGTTGCAGAGTTCATTTAGAGTATCAGACACAGCTATCAGCTTATTTATGCACTTAAAATGTTTTCGTTCCATTTCAACAGAGAATTTCAACGCATTGCTATCTACCTTAACAAAAAAGTGTTGAAAATACTGATTATTTTTTTTAATTCTAGTTGCATGATAAACAAGTATTTACGTGCT